TCTGCTGGCATGTATGCGGAAGGAAACGATGCTGGCCGATGCCGCTCCGACGACATATATCCACCATCGTTGTGTTGCAGCTTATGTTCCGTTGCTGGGTCTGAAGCAATTGAGACGATGCCCCATTGCCCCATTGTTTTTCGTTAATAGTTTCATAACTCTTAAACGTGCAAGATTCTTTGCTCTTGCTGTTGACTAAAGAGGTCAAATATCCACAAAAGAGGGGAAATATTTTGCACCTTTCGTCGAGGAAGTGCAGCGGGGCTGCCGTAACGATTTTGTTTAGAGGAAGCTAAGCTAAGATCACCGACGTTACGTTCTATATTAGAACCAGTAGCTTACCGCATGTTCATCGCTGTGTATTTACAGACAGATCGATCATATACAATGCGGTACTCACAGTTTCTTTCCACCATGTCGTTGCCTTGTAGCGTAGCATTATCCGAACTTTATCCATGATTGTACAATTCATTCCTTGTGCCACTCCGTTAAGCTAATGACCGAACGGTACCGTACGCGGGTGTATGATTTAATCTACGGCTTCCCTCTCGCAATTTGGTTTTATTGTGTGAGCGAAGACACTTGAATCGATCTCTTCATTGATTCTCGTAGAGTTCTTGAACTAGGCAAGCTTAATGGAGACTTCACTTTTGTTCTTTATGAGTTCGCAGTCATAGAACGTTAGAAGTTATCCACAAATGTCAGCACATTTCGTTCACTATCGTTTGCACTGGTCCCATCACATCGGTATGATCTAATTTCAGTACCCGTGTTGTCCTGGACGTCGATAAAAAGAACGACGTCGTTCCTTTAAGATCGGTGCACGAGTGTATACGAATAAGCTGTATGCTTATGCAGACAGGTGCACCTTCAGCGCCGAAGAATTCCCCTTCACAGGGCGCTTCATCGAGAAGCATGGCCTTCCACTAAGGTCAAAGCCATTGTGGACTGGCCGGTTCATAAGAACCAAAAAGATTTCAGCAAGTGACTTGGCCTCCCAGCTACTTGCGCAAGTACAGCAAGAAACACGAAGAAATGGCACGGCCATTGTCTAATCTTCTTAAGAAGGATGCGGAATAGTGTTGGAACACCGAGCATCGAGATGATTCTAATGGGGTCAAAGACAGCCTCCTTCATGCACCAATACTGGCTTTGTTATACCCTTTGTCTTTTTAGTCTCGTCTGTGACGCTTCGGACTTTGCCATCGGCTGTGCACTGCTGCAAGCAGCCACCAAGGGGCAAGATCGGGCGACCGCGTCCAAATATCGCCAGCTCAAGGCTGCAGAGAAGTACTACCCAGTTCACAAGAAATAAGCGAGAAGTATGCACTGTCACGTTTCACCTGCTCGGCTCCAAGCCGTTCGTGATCTACACAGTTCATGCGTCACTACGCACTGCGAATCAGACGACTCAACTCTCGCAGAAAATGGCCAGGTGGCTCACCTTCTTCGCAGAGAATACTTCGATGTGAATCAAAAGCCAGGAACCCGAGAATGTTTTGGCTGATGCGTCGTCCTGCAGACAGACTATGAACTTGCTCATGTGACGACAATGACGTCGTCCGTGATGAATTTGATCCGTGCCGCGAAAGCGGGTGATGATATGTGCTAGTGCTGCTACAGGATTTTGGGGGCAGACAAATCTGGAGACTTGGACGAAAAGTTGTCGTCGCGACTGCATGTGATCGCATTGCTATGCAATAAAATATGGATTGCTGCTTTATGCACCGACTCAAAGGATACGCCTCAAATTGTGGCTCCACACGATGAGAATTTAAAGTATTGTACCCTCTATGAGGCCCACTCAGTGGTTATTTCGGTCGCGAGAATGCCTACAGCTCTGTGTGTTGCCACTATTGGTGACCCAAGTTGTACAAATAGACGAGAATATATGTGCGCAGTGTGAGACGTGTCAAAAAGTGAGACCCTCTCAGAAGGCGGTGGCGCCGCTAGCCAGTTTGCTGGTAACCTCCAAAAGTTGGCAGCCCATGATTTGCACTTTATGTTTGGCCTGCCGAAGGACTCGGCGGACAACACGCTTTTTCGACCGTCTGAGCAAATTGCTTAACATGCAGCGTTACCGGACACCATCGATGGTGTCGGTACTGCGAAGCTGTTTGTGGATCCTGTCTGTCGACAACATGGACTCCAAGATTTAATTATCTTTGATGGAGACACACGCTGCAGTGGGATGTTTTGGTCGACGATCTTCAAGGTGCTGGGCACCAAGTTGTCTATGTCAACAGTAGACCATCCGCAGACCGATGGTCAAACTGAGCGGGTGAACCGCGTCGTCGAGGACGTCCCTTGCAACGTCTACACCGAGACTCCGAGACACTGGAGCGAAGTGGTGCCACTTGTAGAATTTGCTCGGGACAATGCAGTGCACGCATCTACCGGCTAAACGCCGTTCCACGTGAACGGGTACGTTCGTCTTTGCGTACCGCTGACGTCGCCATCTCATGACTCAGGGCTTGGTGGGGAGGAATAGCCGAGCGTCTAGCTGATGTTAGCCATATCACTACGCGTGAAGAAATTGATGAGTTCTTGTCTTCCAGAATAAGTGTCTTACGACACGTTCGCGACGCGATGGCTGAAATCCAAAACATGCAGAAAGAATTAACAGACGGGAAGGAAGAAGAATTGTTTGTAACTTTGAGGTCGAAGCCTGGTTTTATTGAATGCAATAACCTTCCTGCCATGATTTTTCTGCTGCCTTTAAGACGAGCTCCGTCGGCGGTTAATCGGGTCGTTTAAGGTTGTGGCCAGGCGTGGCCTTGCGTATATGGAGAATCATTCAAATGGGATGCGCAACCACACGGTAATTTATGTGGGCCTGCTAAAACTGTACCAAGATCCGGCGCAAGTGAGCGTGGAAGCGTTGGCGCCAGGCCGGCGCCCACAGGCGCTCGACCATTTGAAAGCTAGACCAGTAATTGGTTTTGAGCAGGGAGTGACACGATCTCCATCGCCAACGGCGCCAAGTGCTCTATTGTCGCATGGAGCGACGCAGTCGTATGCTCAACGGCTCGGAGCCGCGACGACAAATCGCGATAGTTCTTAACGTGAGTCAGTCGGTGCGCAACGTGCTCCAGGCTTTTAAGGTCTTCCTCGCAGCGGTATGCGACCACAGCATGACGCTTATCGGAGTTCCGATTGCGACGGAGCTTGTCCGCAAAACCTCAAACAAATATCCGTAATCTGTAGCGGCTTCCCCAGAGGCAAGCACTGCAGGAAACTTCCGCATCGCGGGTATAGGAGCGCCTCATCTTTGAGCACAAAGTCGAGTGCGGTACCAATTTATTGGGATTTCTTGAGGTACCAAGAAGCGAGCTCGGAGAGGTTTTCGTTGGTCAATTTCAGCTGGTATAGTGGCCCGACCACGTAGACGCAAAACGACCGAATGATCGCATCCCTCGCTTCTGCAGCGGAATTTGCCAAGCGGATGCCACATTCCATACGAGAATCAAGAACTGACTGTGGATCCGAGCGCATGAAAGCCGCCCTGCGGGCATCATCCAGCTGCTACTTCTGTGCCTCATCAAGGCGATTGATAATGATACCACTTTCCCCGGAAGTCGAGAGTTCGGAAAACGGACACGGCATCCGTAATGTTCAGGTAGGGCTCACGTCACGCCGCTGATGCACCTTGCCCTCTTCTCCTTCCCATCCTAGAAAAAGAATATCCGGCTCTTAGTCGACACAGATCCTCGATGAGGTAGCTTATCGCCCGTGGCGGGTGCGGTGCGCTGTCCGAAGCTGCATCGCGTAAAGAAAGCGAAGAAGTGCTCTGCCCGCGAACGTTCTCGAAACCAATGAGGTTGGGTGTCTTCTGTGTCTTCGACATCAACAGACAAATGTAAGAAGGTTCTGGTGATGTTGTGGTGTCTTAGACACGTGAACCTCGTTCGAGGCGACAGCTGAACGTGAACTGAAGATTTTCACAATCTTGATTGGGGGAGTTACGAGGTCGCATTTGATGATCTGCCCACACAATGGTGTGGCTTCACTTAAATAAGAATTTGGTACGTGGCTGGAACAGCCAGTAGTCATACATTTAATTAGATTTTTCTATTTAGATAGGAAAACCTATAGATTTAGATGAAGTCGGCTTTGCCGCAGATAAAATCCAGAAATACAGTTTACATTCAAATGGAACAGCTAATTACCGTTGTACTTACTGTTGGAGCAAGTGGATTGCGATTCGCTACACTTCTACTGGTTCTAAGTATAGAACAAAGGTCACCGACCTTAAGTAAGCTTTCTGTAAGCGAAAGAGCTACGGCAGCCTTGCTGCACTACACCTGATTTATTTAGACCAATTTAAGAACACTGCGTCCGTTAACCGTGTCTCTCTCCGTACGCATTACCGAGATTCTTGTGACGTAATCGCTTGTACCGTTCGTGCATTAAGTGGCGTCATCATATCAATTGGTTGAAGATAGTTGAAGAGGTCAAACACTTTGGTGAAAAGTGTCATGTCTGATCAACATACCGTAAGAATGTTTGTAGCGCATGAACTGATAAATATTATGAGAACTCTGAAAATTGGAGCAATAACTCTGGAAATGAATACAAAAGTAGTGTCCTGTGTTGTCTTATTCCTCTTATTCTGTTGTCAATATTTTGTTAAAGCACACGCATATGGAAAGCCTTAGCGTGTCTAAACGGAATATTTTTCAGCTATTGGAAAGATTCTGTCACATTTGACGATTTCGAAAGTCCATTTTAGACGCAAGTCCGGCAGAGCATGCTTGTATAAAGCCATGAGCACATGATGGAGCCTGAACTGTACTTATGAGAGCGGTAGACGCTTCACATCCGCTAGAACCTTGCTCTACTTAAAGACAACCGAGGTTCGGTTGTCCTGGGTAAACAATAGCTGGAAATCAGCACCGCCGTGGCTTATAGATTACTTTCGAGGAAAAGAGGTAGGGTTCTCCTGTACATAGCTGGGAAGAAAGGGCTACAAGTTGACACAAGGACAACTTTGCCTTTGACTACTTGGTCAATGCTTTTTTACGATGCTCACAATTTTTGCTGAAATTAATTATATGCACGCACATCCCAAAATTTAATGTCCTCAAATTTGCAGTGTGATATGGTAAAAAGATCAAAATATCAAATGATGTGATAAAAATCATTAGAAACATGGTATGGTAGTCATACCAAAAGTAATAAAAAGTAATTTGCAAGGCTTCATGCTTTATTTCAAAGACTGTCTTTTGCCACATAGAACTTAAAAGGCACAAGAAACAGAAATCATAAGAAACACACATGATGTCAAAAAGAATTAGATTATCTATAGTGACACACAATATTTGTCATACCGAAACGAATTCCAGATCTCTTGTAACTCACGAGCAACATATATAATAACATCGCGGTCATTTGACTTTGTCGACGTCTGTTCTGACCTTCTCGGGGTGTTTTCCACTTTAAGCCAACGGTCCCAACTGACGTCGCAGCTTTCGTGGACTCGATCGCCATTTGCCAACATAATTGGTTTTGGTGGGTGGTTGCAATGCTGAGTAGTCGATAGTTTTCCGAGCTCCATCGCCAGCAGTGACGATAACGTAAGTCGCAGCGAGGATGGCGTAAAAAAATTTCATTGTTCAAAAAGTGCTAAAGTTGAAGCTGGAAGAATGCCGAGTGAATTGTTGGGCTTAGGAAAAAATATGTATCTTGCCGATTGTAGAAAACAGCCTTCATTGAACGAAAAGAAAAAGTGCAATCGATTGATGTATGTATAGGCGTGAGGCTAGACGACATATAATACTCTCAGCTTTATCAGATGTTTATTATTAGGAAACTGTCAGAGAGATGAAATCGGTAGAGGATTTCCAAACGTTTCTGAAGCAATCGATCTTAAGATCTATGTAAATATAAGAAATAGCATGTTTTTTACCTGTTGTATACTGCAATATACATACCAGTAGTTTTCAGGTATTAGCCTAAGCAAACAGGCATTATCAGAATGCATGTGGTAGGCTTTAAGGTACAACAGATGGCAGAAACGTAAGGCCTTTGTTTTTCACTTCACTATTGATGTTCAAGTAAAAGCTCTCAAACCAAGCTGCATAGGCTTCTGTCGTTGGCGACAGATGATTTGCATCTTCAAATGCATTGAAATATTCCTTCTTCAGCTTGCAAGCTGGAGTAGGGAAAATAAGCAAAGCATTATGTAATGATGGCATGGTAAATACTTGTCTATCGTATTTGAAAATAAAGCACCGTTTCTTAAATTCTATTATGGATGGCTTGTGACTAGAGACTGTAAACCGCTTAAATACCGTTAAAATGATCAAACTTGGCCTTTGAGGGGTTGGATCCTCGCTCAAAGGGGGAGCCTCAACACCTTTACCGCTAGACTAGTCTAAATTCAGACAAACAAATATATATCTGACATTTGGCTGCAACATCGCATGCGGCATCATCTCGACATAAGGTGACGCAGTTTTTGCCCTCTATTTTAGTAAGAAAAAGGATAAATGCTCAAACGAAATAGACGTTAACATGCGTTTTTAGAGATTGATCTTAATCAATTCATTGAAATATTTCTTCTCAGAATAACAATACCAAAGAAATTTCACTTTCAATGAAGAATGAAACGTTTGAAACGACCGTAACAGAGTTTGGAAGTGTTTAGAACCGAAAAATGAGTCCTAGAAGAAAAAAGCCAGGTTTGAAAACCTACATCAGAGCCCCGGTATCATCACTTAATCTGTCAATCGCTCTACTGTAAAATGAAGGTGTATTTATCGAGGTCGGGTATCACTTTTCGTGCAGCTTGACCCAATTTGCTGAATGGAAGAGTACGACTCTTTATTTGACAACGTTGACTTTTATGACAAGGTCGTTCAAAGCCACGAGCAGGATTCACTAGTGTGGTTCTTTCATTAATCGGCTCTTTTGCCCTCGATTTTGTAACCGATTGCAATGTTCATTGATCTCTGCGTGGTGTCTCAACACGAATCTCAATACAGTGCTTTATGAGAACCAATCATTCGCTGATAGGAATGGTCAGACTGCTTGGATTCGACCGCGATATTTCCGATGGAAACAGAGCTGGTTAATGTCGTATCAATCTAACCATTAAACTTGCTTTTGCCGTGCAATGTACATTTATTGCAATATAAAAATGTCCAACAAAAGCCCAAGTTAACTTGCTGGACAAATCAAAGATGTGCCCTATTACTTTCGCTGCTTAGTTAACATCTAAACGTCAATGTGGCCAGATAGCAAAGAGCAAATTAGCGAACTGTTCATACATAGCGAATCTTGTGTGACGACTGCCTTGAAGAAAAAACCACGACGAGATGAAGATTGTCATACACCGACCGCATCATGACAATTTCGTATACAAACATGGATACAGGAATAGAAGAAACTCTATCGAGTTGAAGCGACCACCCTGAGGTCCTTGTTAAACTCGCGTATTACTCAGAATGACACAGCACAAAACGATGCGAGTGTATATTCCATCAATTATGTCATGGCAGAATCCCAATTTATCAGCTAAAAGATCATTTTTAGCAATTTCAATAGCATACCATGTAGTACAGCAGATATATTACTTACTTTCACAAGTACTTGATGCACTGTTGATCAAACCGACAAGAAGGTAGAAGAGCACGCTGATCGCCTGATATGTTGTATGACGAAAAAGTTCCCAAAGAGTGAGTTGACGACTTCCCGGTCAATCCTCATGATCTGAAGACCAAGGCTTCATCTGACATTATACTAGATTGCATACTGCATACTGCTGGAACAGCGAGAAACGCTTACTATTTTTGATTTAAGACTCCATTCAATTGATTTGTTGGGTAAAATCCCAAATTGAAAATGTGTATCAAATTTCATGTCTTTTTCTTATCTCTACCAAATAACTCAGTACCAAAGCTCGTCCTTTAATGGAAGCAAATCCATAACGAAGAAAGTGATGCAAACAAACCTTCACTACTACGCTAATCTGAACTCGTTTGTTGAGCGAGCAAATGAAAATCTAATGCATGTAAACATACGACCAAGCATCATGCTTAACAGTCCTGAACAACGTTATCTCAACATTTCCACTTGCCGTTAATGCTTGCTGAATCTTGGCTTTGGCTTTGTCTAGATACAGACCGCCTGGCTTATAAAAACAAGCATCTTATTTCCGAGTGTTTTTGTTAGCATATATGCTTCCTGACGCCTCGTGACGATGAGGTCGATCTTCAACGTATCCTTTTGCAATTCCCTGAGGATGAAATGGTGCCTAATACCCGCGTGCTACGTCCAAACATGGTATATGGTGTTGTTTGCGAAATTGATCGCTCTTCAGTTGTCTTCTAAAATTTCTATGCCTTCCCCGTGATTCATGTCCTTGAGTATCGCACGTGTCTTAACAACTTCTTTAGTGCTATGACTCGCTGGTACCTTGACTTGAAGACCACTGGCGTGCCTGTAGCCATGATTATAACTCCTGAAACCGAACGTCTGAAATCGGATTTGCTGCCGTGAGTAGCATTTGGATATACCTTAGTCGCAATGTTCCGCTGCGATACAAGTATAATTTTGAGGTACTGAAGCACGCAAATAGCTGCATTCCAATGTCATAGTCCGGGTTCTTCAGGAACCGGAACAGCTGTGTTATCACGAATGCAACATTCGGTGGAGTACTTGCCGTTATGTAAAGCGGTCATACAGTCAAAGATCGAAAAAGGCTTCGAGCACATCGCCAAACGACCCACTTTCGTTGCTGGCGACCGTGTTGACGACAACTTTAATCCTGATGTGCACGGTTGTCGGCACTCTCGGCATCCTTTGATCGAATCGCCTGATCGCGTCGTCGATGGAGCAAGTCTACTTTATCACAAGTGTCTTTGCTGACCTGTCAATGTCAATCTCTATGACCAAAATAAATCCGCCTATTTCAGCTCATTCACCTTGCATACGTTTTGAGCACATCTCTGACTTCATCAGTCTCTTCATTATCGGAACCGTTCCTTCGCATCAGCATCAGCTAATGTCTTTGTTTCGTTCACTCCACTTCAATATAATACTCCAACGATCTTCTTGTTGTATATGAAGACATAAACGATATTCTGCTAGCTCCAATCTCTTTTGGACAGAGCGCTCGGAAGATATAAGCTGCTTTTAGCCGACGCTTGGTGTACACCGACTTAGGTATCGAATGTACTATCAACTTCGCTCATTTCGACATCTCCGACTGGTTCTTCTATTTCATGAACTGTCTTTCAATTCAGTTGCTATTGGAAAGCAACATTACTGTTCTTTATAATTTTGACGGTCGATTCTCACTGGAGCGCATGCGTGTCGTTAATGCCGCCTACTTAACGCCCAACTATTCTCACAGAGCGAGGCACTTTGATCTTGACATTTATGAGGCCATACACGCGAAAACCCTTGCCATGTTCTGCATAATCAAAAAATATACATTTGAAACTCTCGGATTTGAGCTTTGTATTCATTGAATTGTCAACATTAGCGTAACCATGCGACCCGAGCACAAGTAAGTTATCTATTTGAGGCATCATTTTGGAAGCAAACTTAGATGGCGAGATATCGTGATGAGCTGTATTTGTCAAGCGATCAATTAAATTAAACTGCCGTTCTCACTACTTCCGACCACCGTTTAGTACACCGCTTTTGTAGTATAGCATACTGCGGGTCTTTTCCATGACAGTTATGTTCATACGCCTATTCACCTCATTCTCCTTGCATCTATGCTGCTCTTGCTGTCACATAGGGAGGTCGCAACAAATATCGACAAAAGAGGGGAAATAACGCACCTCTCGTCGGTATTGTTTGCATTGGACTTATATTATCAACGTGCATGTCATCCAGTGCATGTGTCATATTTGTTATCGAACGTGAGGAAAACGCTGTGATTATCTGCTTGCCCTAAAATCACAATGATACTTCTGCATCTTGCTTGGACAGCAAAATTCATGTGGCAAAGTATTGTATCTTGAGAATGAATCAGATTTGGGTTGGCATTAGCAACTCTAAAACCCAACAACTCAATCAAATACGTTTTTTACTTTATGATGCAGACGAGTGAATATACGAGTGAGGTGATTCAAAAGGGTATGCATGATGGGGTGGCTTCTGCCGGATTCAAAATTTATTCTCAAGGACTTCTTAAGACAATTACAGTATCAACCTTTAAGCGCTAGCTCTGAAATACTCCGTGTAACATGCTTTTTCAGGTGTGCTATGTCTTCGTCCTAAAGTTCCCATATCTCTTCCACATTACGCTGTCGTAATGATAAGCGATCTGGTTTATGAAGGCTAGGAGACTTAGGTATTACCTGACAGTGAACCATCATAAACACCATGTAGCTGGACTTTGGACCTTGACGAATATTATTAAAGTGGGGCCAACCCACACCGTAACCGCAAGGCTATTTATCGCGGATCTGAACCGCATGCCTGTAACACAGACATTCAGCTGCAATACGATTATTTAAATGTATTGAATTGTGTCATCTATATACGCTCACTGAATTGTAAGAAAAAGGCTTAGCAAACTGGCGTTCCGCATAAACAAAATATCGCTAGATTTCAAGTTAGTCGAGGCAGCGGTCGTAAACTGAGCAATCCAAGCGATAACGTCGGATTGAAGGGCAAGTGTTTCAATTACAAATTAATTATTACATGAAGAGGATACAGCCGGCCGCAAAATTTGTCAGCATTGATGACACGGTTTTGCGGCGGACAAAGAGGAAGATTTATCAACAGTAACGCCACATTCCATATGACCACGCACATGAGGGACTGGTTCAAATACAAAATATTTGAGACGAGTATCGTAGTACAATTGTAGATGACAAAAGCTACTCACCAATTAAACCAGCCTCATGGAGTTGGTCGGCTTGAGTGGGGGATATTTGAATGATTGGTGTTCCATTTATCCAAGGGCTTGACAATCTATCGCTGTTTGTTTGAAAGCTTGCGGGGCGCGGCATGCGAGTGAAGTTCTCGTCTTTGAAACTGCAATTGTATCCAGTTTGAAAACCGATAAAGCTACATGTCTGACAGTACACGAAGCATGTTACGTGAAATATTTCAGGGCTAACGCTCTGTGAAGCATTGGCATGCTCGCCTCAAATAAGAATGTCATTTCAAGATACAGTGCTCAACTACATGAATCCCGATGATCAAGCAGGAATCAGAAGCATTATGTGCCTGGTGTTTATAAGGGCAAGCAGACTGTCGCGGCATTACTCTCACGTTCGATGAAAAAATGGCACAAGCCCTGGATAACGTGCACAGAGAATTTATGGATCCAATGTAAACTATCCGTAACGGGTTACACGTACCCTTGTATGAAGGGGTGGGTCACACAAGATGGTGTGACCACACAATGGTATGACTACACCTAAAGAAAAAGGCACTACGCGGCGGGACTGCCAGTAATCACGCAGGTGTTCCTATTCAATTAGGAAAACCTATATTTTTAGATATAGGCGGCTCTGCAGCAAAAGAAGCAAAGAAATCCAATTCATATTTTTAACGGAAGAGTTTATTTGGCTTGGGTTAAGGTTGTGGGTACTCTTTGAGTAAGCGGATTGCAATCCGCTACACCCATACTGATTCTATTATACCAAGTAGAGTCGGTGACCTTCGTAAGCTTCCTCTCAGCAAAGAGCTACGGCAGCCCCGCTGCACTTGGTAGCACTTGTTGTCAATCTACGTCTGAGTCGTCACGATTGAACCTCTGTTAGGATAGCGCAATTCTCGTATTTACCCCAGAACATGCAGGGCGAGATTAAATGGCTGATATTTCTGCTTGGCCTTGAGGCCGCGCAACACCTCGCTTCACAACGACCCTGCGTGCTCTTGAGCACCGAGAGAAAAGATGTCGGCGTCGACTGCGTCCATGACGCCACTGTTGACGACGGATGACTCATCCTGACCCATGCCGCTCATGGAGAACGTTGATACCTTCGAGGGTAAGAATGGGTGAAAGTCTCCTGCTCTGGGTGAGAGAGGCCGAGATGGCTGTGGCGTCCGCCATACTCCAGGCTGATCAACAGTGCGTGATGCTAGCTATCTCCAATTTCGGTGGTTAAGTGCAAGAATTGGCGCTAACGTGCGGCACTCGATTGAAGCGGCGATTCCTACTGGAAAAAGCTGAAGCGTCAACTTCTGCGAGTGTTCTCGTCGCCTAACCAGGCATATCGCGTGCAATCGCGTTTTCTTGCCGTCCGACACGGCATGAAGGAATTGGTGGACTTCGCCCAGGTGTGGCGCACTTTCATTGTCGGGATGGCAGCCGATCCTCTGCCCGAGGCGGTCGCAGTGATCGTATTCATGGAGGGCCTTCGCATTGGCGTGAAGGAGTTGGTGAACTTCGTCCTAGACTTGAGAACACTTATTGCCAAGATGGCAGCAGATCCTCTACCCAAGGCGCTAGCAGTGATCGACTTTATGGAGGGACTCCGCGCTGGCGTGGCCAGAACGAAAGTTTTCTGTCTGCATCCGTCTTCTTTACAAAACAGTGGATGTTGCATTGAATGCCAAATTCAACTCTAAGTCGGCACGGCTTCGTCGGAGTGCACACTCTAGCAGCTCGTCGAGCGGGCCTGAGCCAATTAAGCTGAGCTATGCTTGGAAAGAGGTGGCGAAGCTCCGAGCTTCCGGGCAGCGTTCGAACACCTGACAATGTTTTGTCTGTGAAGACACCCGTCACATTCGGACTGATTGTCCCCTGTCCAAGGCGCGTCAAATTCCTTCGAACTGACGTCCCGTTTTCCACCAGCCTGATTTATCGTGGGGAAATGAGAAGATTCAAAAGGCGCGAAGCGTCCATCTGGGGAAGATTTGAGTTCTGTTGAGCTTCAAAGAGGTAGAGG